AGTGGCTAAAGCACTTGACTGCTAACCAGAAGGCTGGCGGTTCAAACCCACCAGCCACTCCTTGGAAGGAAGGTTGGGCAATCCTACTTTCGTAGTGGTACTGCCTCGGAAACCCAAGGAGGGGTCGCTATGAGTTGGGGCCGACTGGACGGCACATAACAACAACAGGCTGGTCTGCCCACCCACATCTCCCTCACCCTAACATCAGGAGGGCATGTTAGGAAAGGAATCTGCAAGTAACTGGTAAGACCTGCTTGTCTTTCTCTGGGCAAGTCATGGTGGACAAGTGGGAAGGTTCTGCAGAGAACACCCAGTGCCCTGCAGAGCTCCCTCCGCCAGATCCTGATCTACTTGGTCTCTCTGAGATGAGTGGGCTGTTTGGTGCACCTGAGGGTGACCCTGTGGGCATCTCCCTGACTCAAGTCCTTTACAGGCCTGTGCCCAGGAGCACCTTCTGTGAGGGAGGGGCTGGGAGCAGAGGGCAGGCCTAAGAAAAGCCCCCATACCACCCGTCTGCCTCCTATCAGAGGTCAGTGCCAACCGGGCAGGCAGCTTGACCACTGGGACCACTCACTTCCTGTGTGATGACTCACCTTCAGCTGCTGAGGCACCATAGGCCCCAAAGCCAACCTGGATTGAGGATAGGGCCCAGGGGGCTGCTGCTCTGAAGGGGCTACGTCTAGGGCCCCCGTGCCCAGCCTCTGGAGTTGAGGCTACTCACCACATATCCCATGTGGGATTGTGGGTGGTGACATAATAACTCCTTGCTCTGCCAATGGTCAACAGCCTGGACACCTGCAAATGGATACTCCAGGTGTCACAGATTACCCAGTTCACTTACGTAGACAGCTCACAGACCAAAGGTTGTGCTCCTCCCACCCCTAGCCTCATAGCCTGCCTTGCTCTCAGCTGGGCCACCTGAGATTGGTGAAAGGTAGTTATCATATGGTTTGTTGGGATTGTGGCGTCATGGAAGACCCTGTCATCCCTGCTAGAGGCCGAATTAACATAATTCCTGCCCCTGTAAGCACCAGCAGGACCAGGCCCACCTGACCTCTGATCCTAACACTGTGATATGGGAAGGAGGACTGGTGTCCACAGCTGTCCTATCCCCAGTATGTCCTCTCATCTGAGAAGGCACTGAATACTTAGCTTTGGGCCATGGGTCAGGCCTGCAGCCCTGGGCAGGTGGAGGCCTTGAACCCTCTGTGTAGGACCACCACTTGCTCCCACACTCTGGCCCACAGTGCCATTAGGCAGGGCACAGGCCTGACTCTAGTTACAGGGCAGGGATCTAGTCGGCTTCGGGGAGTGGGGGGGGGTAGGAGGGTGGATAGGTCCAACCTAGCTCTCCCAGCCTGGCCTCACCCCCGCTGGAGGAGCAGGGTCCCTCCCTGAAATGTCTCCAACTGAGTGCAGAGCTCCCAGCAGGACGTTCTTCTCACAGGGCCACCTCCAACCTACAGGAGACCTCCCTAGGGTCTGCATAGGACCCTGGCCAGTCAGTCCGGTCACAGCCTCTCTACCCTCGAGGGTCAGGCCCTTCCACCAGGAACTCCCACACCTGTGCCCTGGGCTGGGACATGCGACCCTGCATCTTCCTGCCTACTTCTCCAGTTGGAGGCAGAGGCCAAAGGGACAGAGTTTTAGAACCAGAATTGCCCCTGCCTCAGCTTGGCATGCTGGCCAGCACTGGTGGGACCCCCTGGCCACAGCCTGGCGCTCTGCCCTGGCTGAGGCTCCACTTGCCAGGCCTGGCCCTCAGCCTGTTGTCGCTGCTCGTGATCCCCCGCTCAGGGCCCCTCCGTCGCTGGGCCGAGGCCGGAGCCACTGCTGCCGCCAGGGGAGGGAGGTGGAGGGAGGAGCGGTCATAAATAACCCGTGGGCTGCAGCCCCAGGCTGGGCAGACGGTGACCGGAGATGTCCCGGGGGAGCATGGGGGGTCCCGCTGGCCCCAGGGCCCCTAACCCAGGCTCTGCCAGCCTTGACCACCCCCTTCCCCTCCCTGCCCCCACCCCTTGTTGTGGACTTCCTGCCCACCCACTCTCTGCATACTGCTCCCCTACAGTCCCCTCTTCATTCATCAATTGATCATTTATTGAGCACCAGAGGTAGTACAACCCCAGAAGAGCCCAAGGCCCAGAGGTAAGGTTGGAAG